TGCTTATGTTTGTAGGTGACACAGAGGCATGGTTAAGACAGAGAGGTATGGTAGGTGATAGGAGGCACGGGTGGGAGGCACACAGAGGCAGAAAGACAGAGGCCAGTAGCATGGAGGCACAGTAGGTGAATGCAAGGCACAGTAGTATTGCATGGAGCAGTAGGTGACAGAGGTATGGTAGGTGACAGAGGCACAGAGAGGTTATTGCAGGCAGCGGCAGGCATGAGGCATGGTAGGTGACACAGAGACATGGTAGGTAACACAGAGACATGGTAGGTGACACAGAGACATGGTAGGTGACACAGAGGCATGGTAGGTGATACAGAGGAATGGTAGGTGACACAGACATGATAGGTGACATAGACATGGAAGGTGACACAGAGGCATGGTAGGAGACACATAGAAATGTTAGGTGACAGAGACATGGTAGGTGACACAGAGGTATGGTAGGTGACACAGAGACATGGTAGGTAACACAGAGACATGGTAGGTGACATAGAGACATGGTAGGTGACACAGAGACATGGTAGGTAACACAGAGACATGGTAGGTGACAGAGGTACGGCAGGTGACACAGACAATAGAATTCTGTAATGTGCGAGGCATGGTAGGTGACAGAGGCATGGTAGGTGACAGAGGTATGGTAGGTGACAGAGGCACAGTAGGTACGTGAGAGGTAAGTGTAGGCATGGTGGCATGGTAGGTGACACAGAGGCATGGTAGGCATGAGGGAGTGGACAGAGCGGTAGTGCACATGTGGTAGGTGACACAGAGGCATGGAAGATGACACAGAGGTATGGTAGGTGACACAGAGGCATGGAAGGTAACACAGAGGTATGGTAGGTGACATAGAGGCATGGTAGGTGACCCAGCGGTATGGTAGGTGACACAGAGGCATGGTAGGTGACACAGAGGTATGGTAGGTGACACAGAAGCATGGTAGGTGACACAGAAGCATGGTAGGTGACACAGAGGTATGGTAGGTGACACAGAGGTATGGTAGGTGACACAGAGGTATGGTAGGTGACACAGAGGTATGGTAGGTGACACAGAGGTATGGTAGGTGACACAGAGGTATGGTAGGTGACACAGAGGCATGGTAGGTGACACAGAGGCATGGTAGGTGACACAGAGGCATAGTAGGTGACACAGAGGAATGGTAGGTGACACAGAGGCATGGTAGGTGACACAGAGGCATAGTAGGTGACACAGAGGCATAGTAGGTGACACAGAGGAACGGTAGGTGACACAGAGGAATGGTAGGTGACACAGAGGAATGGTAGGTGACACAGAGGAATGGTAGGTGATGCAAGTGGTCAGATATGCAGAGATTTTGTCAGATAATTTTATATACCTCAACATTTCTCGAGTTATACTAATCTATTCCGTGAACTCCGAGTTATTTGAAATTCAGAGTTATCAAGGATTTACTGCATATTGTACAGTATATCAAAAAATATTTTTCAATTAAATAAGAAATATGAAGAGCATGGGAGTGTATGTGTGTGAAGTGAGCATATGTATGGACTTGACATGCACTTCCTGATTGTTGGCCGTACTGGACGGACATGCAGGTCGCTCTCCTACACCTTCCTGGCTGGACATGTACTGTCATGGCTGGCGGAAGAGCTTCAACGAGCAGGTCGCTTTCTAAAATGACGGAATTGGGTGGTGGACACATAAGACACAGTAGGGTACTGCTGGAGGACTGTTGTCGGATTTGGAGCTGTCCAGCAGCAGTGAATGTGAAGAACAAGAGCCGTTTAAAGTTGTTAATAGCAAAAATAAGAATAAAAGGAGGAATAGAGATGGTACAAGCAGTAAAGATAATAATTCCCACTTGATGGATAAGCGAAAGAAAATTGATGGTGTGAGTCATTCTTCAACCATGATCAGTACAACGAGTTTAAGCCCCATTGATGGTTTAGATGGCAGCAACTCATCAAGGAGGCCACGTCTTTACTTCCCCAAGAATAATGGCATGGATTTTCATGATAAGGTAAAGTGGTCAGTTAGACTCGCTAAGCGCCATCAAGGGTATCAAGTGCTCTTTAAAGAAGGTAAACATATTCCTTATATTACTGTGAAGGATGAGGAAGCAGTTAGAGATCTAACTACAGAAGGTTTTGAGAATGTAGTGATGGAGAAGCCTGTGGAGTCCATTGGGAAATGTACGAAGATCATTCTTTTTGATTATCCTGTTTACCTTGACTTCGAGGATGTGTTGGCTGACGATAGATTTTTTTGGGCCAAGAGACGTGTAATTAAAATTGATGGAGAACTAGTACCTAAGCCGCAGCTAATTGCGCTACTCAAAGGTCCAGCGCCAGAGAAGGTCTTTGTGAGATGTTTGGGATATAAAAGGGCAGGGCCGGATTAACCATGAGGCACTGGCCTCAGGCCCCCAGACTCTTAGGGGCCCCCAGATTCTAAGGATAAAAAGATTTAGCTATATATGCATTAAATGGTCAATTAGTAAGTAAGCCATTAACTATTTCGTTCTTAATGTGTCCAATTGGATGATACATATACATTTTTGTGACTTGGTAGCGGCGTGTGGCATCTGTTAGTTTGTTCGACAACAGTAGCTGACAACACTCAGCTGATCCGGGACTCCATTGTGACGTACGGATGGTGCAGTGCCAGACTTTCATATAGGAGGACCATTTCAGGTAAACAATGATGTATATAACTTCAGTAATAAGTTATGAATGATCAAAGAATTATGTGAAGTGCAAAATAATGGATAATTTGTAAGGGAAATATGAGGAACGGGTATGTTTACCATACTTTTCGGCTTCAAAGACGCACTTTTTATGACAAAAATATACTTAAAAAATTACTATGCATCTTCCAGGATGCTAGTCGATAAGTTGTAGCAGAGGTTTTTGAAATCACCCCCTTACAGAGACTTGTTTCCTCATTACAGTACTTAACAATTACAAGTATTCTCTATACAGTACTGTAAAACTATTGATTTAACTAATATTGTTGATAGTATTGCGAAAAAAATAAATAAACCCTTGGCTGCTTGTGTGGTTTGTTTACTAATGGCAGTGGTGCGGCAGGGCCATCTATTGAGGAATTGCTAAAGGTTGTCTGCTGGTCTCAAATGCAGGAATGTTTGTTTCTTTATATGTAGGCTCTCATATTTGGACACCTATTTACAGTAGGCTCTCATATTTGGAGACCCATTTAGACTGTAAAAACCCCACAAAATTAAAATCTTCCAAATTTAAATACAACTTCGTCATCCAAGTCAAAACACACACACAACAACATTGGCTGTCCTTATGTTTTCAACTTTACCACCACTGGTGGGTAGAATTTTTTTTTAATTCAGAAACATTAATTAAAATATATATGAACAGTAAATAAGTGTTGTTTTCATATTCTCATGTAGAGTAATGACGATATGTTTTCACGTGTGCGCATTTACATACGCGATCTCTCTTTTTTTTCTTTACCATTACCGTTAGCTACTTCTATTGTTCCATTTATTAACATTAAATAACATTACTTAAAACAACCATATTAATTTTATGACAGCTGCAACCAGGGTCTTATTTTCTTCAGTTTTATATGTAGAACCAGTCAGTCACTGGTTTTGTAATCAACGAAAACAATGCTGTCTAATTTCCTCGTGTTTTAATATTCTACGTATTATTAATGAATTGTATTGCTCATTTTGCACACACAAACATTAATTCAATCAAAAAGACTTTCAGTAATAAACAATAATGAATCTTTTGTACATAAGAGAAATGACGCTGTTTACACGATTGTGCACGTCGTCTGAACGTTGGTGGGCCGTTCAAACCCGTCGAAATTCGAGTTTCCGCCGTTAAAATTTTTAAATGTGTTGTATTTTGTGTGTTCAAATAGAAAACGTCGAATTAAAAACTCGCGAAATTTGAGAAGCTACTGTACGACATTTAACTCTTCAATATGTCTTCAAAGAGACCATGAAGCAGAGCAAGTGGTGCTAGTGCTTCCAAGCGTACGCACAAGTCACTATCTATCCAGGAAAAGGGTGAATTTCCATGGTCCGGCACCGGTCAGGTCCTGAGGTTGTCGGGCTAGAGAGGTACAACCTGTATATTGAAGGAACTGATGGCATTCCTTGTAAACTGTGTGGCTATGCAAAGTCTCATACATTATATCATTACATTATGGAATGTAACTGTTTATCAGAATTTAGGGGTGATGGTATTACTGATATTACAGAGATGGTTTGTTATTTAATAAACAAAAATATGGTTAAGAATATTATGAAAACATTCTGTAAGTTTAACATAAGATTGTAGATTTTATGCACATCTATTTGTTGTACAGGTATACATATCTGATTTATGATTAGTAGAATGTTAAGAGCTCTTGTTAAGACTAGTTTTGGGCAGGCTAATTAGCATGCTAACCAGCTCCTTTTGATGTAATTGTCAATAAATATTTTGAATTTGATTTGGACTTGACATGTCAACTACTGATAAAACTGTCCCTGCAGCTACATCTCCTCAAGCATTCCCTCGTATTTTTGGATGGATGAACTTATTTTTTTTAACTGTTACATGGACACAATCATTCATACAGAATGTGCCCAAAAAATATAAAAAATTATTAGCATAAGGTCAAAACATAAAAGAATAAATATTTCTTACGTATGCAGGACTTAGTGTGGGTTCCTGGGAGGGGAAGGGGGGAGCCTCCCAGGGGGGGGTGTTGCATCAGGACTCTCAGCCTCCCCTTACCAGGCCTAGCTGTGAGCTGCATTATTGTTATTTTTCAACTCGTATTTTTCAGGTAGATATATGTCTTATTTTTCTTTCACTTCCACATGCAAATGCAGTAAATGTCACAGGAAAACAACTAAAAATACAATGATATTCAGCAAACTAATCTAGTTTACTAGAAAACTGTGAATGTTTACTAAGAGTTTTCCTGTGTAATGATGTACTGTATCCTTGTTTTATTCTCTTCATCAACATCAATGATCAGCTCACCTTTGAGGTTCAGTTTTGTTCATCAGGCAATCCTTGTTGTTAAGAATCCACTTCAATAAGTTATGAAAACTCTCTTCAGAGTTGCCAATGTAGCGACAGGCCTTGTCGATGCCTTTATTCAGGTCCAGCGACACCTGTGGAAACTCTGTATTATTCCCACTGTAACAACAAGTTTTTCCATAGCTTCTATAGTAATCCAGATACATATAATAGAATGATTGATTGTAGTACTTACATTCCTGGTGACACAACAGCTTGGTCATATGTCACTAAATTAAAATTAAGGCTTAAAAACTAAAATAAAATAATGCAAGGTAAAAACAGTAAATAACATAAAACTTTCATAAAAGCCATTTAAATGTTAATAGGTAAAGCTCAAAGCTTGTGTAGAAGGCCAGCTTCCTCCACAAAGGAGAGAACATCTCCTCCTACATTACCCATTCCTCCCCCAGCACCAAAGAGAGATGGTAAGACCAATCTTCCCCCCAACATTGGGGGAGGAGCTTACAATGCACATATCAAAAAGCGCTCAACACACTGGCCCTCTCAGCTCTTTCTGATCATCACCACGGCCTCATCTGCAAATTTGGTGAGAAGTTTCTGCACCATCCTCGACACCGGCTCCTACTACCACCCTAGATCCCTTGTCCGAGAATTGCTGTTCGACACCACAACTGCATCCAGCCCATACGAGCACAAACTGATCGCTAAAGAACAGCCCAGTCCTAACCATTGTAAAAATTATCAATAACTTGTAATCAACCAGTGTATTCACTGTCAGTCAATCTTACTTTTTGCACTGTCACTAGGTTGAAATGCCCTATAGTTTGAGCTTCTCCCCACCTTATTATTATATATCATATTTGTATCACTTATGTTACTTGTATATTATGTGTAAATCAAAAGACCCATTCCCCAATTATCTAACTGTATATTTTCAGCCTTGCGGCTGCCATGCTCTTTCAATAAACCGTTACTTATTATTTATTATTATTACAATGAAGATCTCTGAGACAGGGGCATTCCATCAGGTATCAAACAACCAATGGGACCAGCCATGATTCGGCCATGTGTGGCCTCTTAATGCTGAGGCGGGCCAAAGCAGTCTCTCAGCAGTGTAATAGTCCCTGATATTCCCAGGCACCTAGTGCAGGGTGGATGGTGTGGAGCTTGTTTTCTCCAACAGCATTCCACCTGCAGTCATTTTTTAATATACAGTACTGTCAGTTCTGCTCAGGGTTGGAAAAACTCATGATTTTTTTAAAAAAATCGAAAAAACCAAGTTATTTGATTTAAATCGGATTTTTTTTATTTAAATCGATTTTTTTTCACTAATTGCATTCAAATAGTATATTTAAACCATAAAAACAATATTTTTCAACCAAAGCTAATTCAGGAAAATAAACAGAAAATTGGCATTAAGATACTTATGCAGTATATGTACCAATGGAATTTAACACAATAATATTCTTTTTGTAAAGTAAAAGAAAACTGGTAACATTTCTTACATTTGAGTGCACAAATCCAAACGTAATAATGAAATTTAACATAAATGCTCTTATAGGATTACAGTGTTTCAAAAATTAATATCAACTTCTTCAAGTTAACAGAATAATATTCTCATTTTGTAAAAAATAATACTGTACTGGTAACAAGTTTATTTTCTTACATTTGTAGGATTATAGTGTACTAAGAATTACTGGTAATAATTTCAAATCAACACAATATTCTCATTCTGTAAACAACAAAAATAGTTCAAAAAATTTAAATTAGCTTAGTTGAATATTGAAATGCTTATGTACATGTACTGTGACAAGCTTAGATGCCTTTTCCTGTCCTAGGTAATTTCTTACCTTTGAGTGTACAAATCCATATGTGGAAAAAATTCTCTCAACCCCTGCTGATGATGCAACAGCTGTAAATAATTGCTTAGGAACATCTATTACATTTTCTGTCATATCATTGGCAAAATACTGCCATCAAGCAAGGGGTGAGAGAGATTTTACAACATCTTTACCAAAACAGACCTCTTTAAATGGTGCACTTCTTCCATGGAAGGTCATTAATGTTGAAAGGAAATGTGGAAGAGACTCGCACACACATTGTTTTGCAATGTCTCGCTGCTCAGGAGTCAGATGTCTGCTCTGATACCTTGGATCTATCACATTAGCTAGAAAATGGGCAGGTGTCAATGCTACTATACTTTGATTCTTTTTTCAAAATTATCCATATCCTTCTTATGTTAAATACTCCTTAATATCAGTTTTCAGTTTTACCCAGATTTCTACAGCATCACTTAGTAGGGTATGTTCTCTCTGGACACAGTCCAATGCCACAGCAATAGGCTTAAGTCTCTCTAAATAGTCTTCTGCAGTTCTTTTTAATGCCTTATCATTAACTTTCCTTTCAATTTTCTTATCAATGTCTTCACTATTTTCTTTGCACACTTTGACAAGGGTCTCCCACTTCTTTAAATAAAATTCAATAGAATCTGTCACTGTGTTCCATCGTGTGTCTGATGGCATTACTAGCATTGTTCCTCCTGCTCTTCTATACAAAGATCCTGGGATGTGATGATTTCTGAATTTCAATAGTATTTATTATCTTAGGTAACAATATATTTCATGTAAATATATACATTAATAATGAGACCTTATGATATGATCAAAGTTTTGCAAAACTGGAGAGAACAGATTATAATACAGTACATAATTATGTAAATCCAAATAATGTTATTAGCCTGCTGCATTGCATATACTTTTCAATCATGTAGAATAAAAAGAGAAACAGTTATTACCCGGTAGTAAAAAAAATCATTTTGATTTAAATCATGATTATTTTACTCTGATTTAAATCAATTTAAATCATGCGATTTAAATCATTTGATTTAAATCATAACAACCCTGGAACTTTTGCTACAACGCCATAGTTGTGTTCTTGGAAAACCTCGCGTTGTAGAAATTCACGCAATAGCAATAACAGGGCTTATGGAAAAAATAGGGTGAGGTGCAGATTACTCAAAATCTAAAAAAATTTAGTAGTTAGCCTAACACAAAGGATAGCACAGTCTAAATAAATGTTACATTCATATCTAATAATGAAATCATATGTTACATTCATATCTAATAATGAAATCATACAGTAAATGTAACACATTGCCTTGACAAAATATGAATATAACTTGATGGGGGAAAAGGGTGATTTTGAGGTTGATAACATCATGCTTCTCTTCAAGTGTTATAGCCTTTCTTTTACGATCGCCACCGGGAATGCGATCACCAGAATGCTTCTTGGAGATATTCTTCTTTTCCATATTCACAGTTAATACCGCAAAATTGGAGAAATAGTAAGCAAAAATCACCGAGGACGCTTCAAAACAACCAATGTGTTTCAACTGATCGTGTGATGGAAAGAGAGAGCGCGTGTGTAAAACGCTATTAGTCTGCACTGCGAAAAACTATTTTGATTTAGTTTTTTATACAGTATTTATGGGAACAGCCAAATTTGCAAAAAAAGGATGAAATTTACAGAGTCCCTATCAAATAACACTTCACAAACAAAACACATGAATCAATTGAACATGTGATGTCGAACATGAACTGTAAACACTGCATAACCCCTTGACAGTACACTTAAAACGTCAATACACTTAAAACGTTCGAGTGGAATCTCGTTACAACCAACACGCGTTCGCGTTTTACAAATATCATTCTTCTATTCATCAATCGCTTTATAGCCAATTCGTGTTGACAAAACACGTGTTGTAGCAGAAATGACTGCATTTGAAGAGTTAAAGGGGCAATGAAGCAGTCCTGAGTGAACTCTTTTATGAGGTGAGTTATCTCCCAAATCATATCTTTGGTGACCGCACACTTGGGTAGTTCAAAGAGGTTAGCTGGTGACCACCTGACAACTTCTGAGAAGATTTCTTTAACCCATATATCAGCATTTTTCATCGACATGCCATTCCACTGTGGTGGCTGTCTCATTCACCACGTGGACATTTGCTGATGTTGGAGCAGCATTTATTGACACCTACATTTTCAGTGGTGTCCGCGATATCCACTGTGGCCGCCTGTATCAGCTCCCTGCCATGGGGATTCCGGCAGTTGTTACCCTTTCTACACCCCACACATGGTTGGTTGTTTCTCACACATTCTCAGCTTGTGCAATTTTGGTTCTGGTTAGCAAAGATGCAGCAGAAGCTGTTACCCGGCTTGGTGCTCCACACTTAGGGCGACAGTTACGTTTGCCTCCAACATCTGCTTTGGTCTCATACAGAGGAAACTTGTTCTTATGAGAAAAGGGCAGAGAGGTGACAGGCTGGACCGCTGTGACTGGGTAGTAGGAATATATGTTCGCTCGTGGGTGTGTAGGCCACCTCTGGGGTGGATGAAGGCGACAATCTACATAACATGAGAATTGTACACTGGGAGCTGGAATTGTCACACCTGACACTTATTTATACAGTGACCCCTCGGTTAACGAACTCAATCCGTTCCAGAAGGTCGTTCGTTAACCGAAACCATTGTTTCAATGGGTTTTTGGGTAATTGGTTCCAGCTCACCGAAAATTGCCTAAATTCAACAAAAATGGTAAAAAAGTTCACTTACTTTGAGGTGTGTATGTAGAAGGCTCCTGGATGATGATGATGATGATGGGAATTAGAATGGGGGTGGAGGAGAAGGAAGAAGAGAAGGCATTGGGGTGGAAGAGAAGTCACCCCATGGCACCATTTCACCCATAAAAGTTTAGTTCTCTTGGTGTATTTCAAGATTATTTTCTTTAAATCAACACGGCACTGCATTATATATAGTCAATATGTAAAATATATTTCAAAATGACCAATAATTTGCTTGGAAACAGTAAAAAAAAAAGCATTTAGTTGAAGAGAGTCTCAAGCAAGATGTTACCTCCAGTGAAAACAGAGAGAGACTAACGCCTGTTTGCTGTGTTAAGAGGCTGGATGCCGTGCATTAAACTAGTCACTTTACCTTCAATTATGTTCAATAATTGTTAAAATGACTAAAAAATTGAATATTAAACTTTTAAAATTATTGAATAGTATAAACTTCTTGATATTTACCAAAATAGTAAGGAATTTAAGCCCTAGAACCGATTAATGTATTGGCGGACTGAAACTAAAGCTGGATGCCCGGTCAGTGCAAGCGAAAACATGTTGAGGTGGGTTCGTAAGAAATTCGTTAACCGAATTTTTGTTTGTTAACCGAATTGAAGA